AGCCTGTTCTTTTCTCTTTCAAGCAAACTATTATCCTTGTCTCCAATGCTAGTAATAATTGCACAGGAAAAGATTTAGTAAAACCTATCATTTTTAGTTGCTGTTTAATTATGCAAGTTTACTATGTTATTGTTTAGTCGGTTTAAATGTTAGAATTTTCTTCTTTAAACTTTAATGTTGTCATCACTACATCTGGAAAACCACGTAAGAACAAATTAAAAGTATTTTAAAAGAGACCAGGTTGTTTGAAAATCTAAACGAATGCTAAAAATCGTCAAAACATTCTGGTGTCTGAGCCAGAGTGTCATCGAATTGCGATGTAATGTAAACAGAAATTATAGCAAGTTGATGTCAGTCAGGTTAGATGGTCCAAGCCAAAATTATATCGCATTTGAGATTTCAAACTGAGTTAAAAATAGTGGAAGAAAAGCCGTAATTATACTTATTGTCACAATCCATTTAATAAAATGCAACATTTTTTTGTTTTAATGAAAAAATCAGTTATTTTCATGAGAACGATTTGTTATTGCATCTCAATTTTTTTAATCTCCAATCGCAATAACGTAAAGTATTATTACCCGCGAACCAATGAGTCAAATTTAAGAAACCACCCACTGTTAGAAAGCTGAGTGGCTACGCTTTAAAATGAATGTAAACTTTAACGTTTTCGTCTATTATTTGTTTAGCAATTTACATTTCAATCGAGGATTGCGCTTTTTTTGATACACCCTGTATAATTAACATGGGTTTTTGTTTGGTGGCCCAACCGTGGACATACAAAAAAAATTGGCGGCCCATCGAAATTGCCCAAAGATTTTCCATGGCCCATCCCAAATCACTCCGGTTACTTTATGACCGGTCCCGTATCCGTCGCTTTCTCGTCCTCACTTGTTCTCTGCGCTCATTTTCACCATATCTCCATTTTCACCATATCTCCAGTCTACAGGTACTTTTTCGTATTTTCTGTTTCACTGCCTTCAATTCCTTCCTTATATACCGTCGTACAAATCTAGAAGGAAGCATTTTAAAATTTGCTATTTAATTAACAAATTATTGCTCTTTGTATTGAGATACATAAATTGATTTCCATTTCATTTCATTTCAGAAACAAGACTGGCGATATACTTCCAGCAATGTGAAAGCCAATGGTTTGTTTTTATAATCAATGATATTCTTACATGTTGTTGTCTGTATATCTGTTTGAATAAATCTACCTCAGTTGTGGTACCTGTGTTGGTCGTGGCGTTGAGTATAAACCTGTGGTTGAATTTGTCAACAGCTACTCAATCCACTGGAAAATATGTAATAGGCTGTACTGTTTATTGCAGCTTTGCCCCAATGGGTCGTTTTCATGTGGCTACTTCCTTATGTTTCGTGCACAATTGGCGTGTGGATATGTTAGTGATTGGACTCAAAATCAAAGCGAACATATTCGTGCACGAAACATTGCAGGGAATATAACCTTCCTGTGTGCATGGCGTGCCAAAACAGTCAAACATGAAGACGAGGCCATTGGGGCAAAAGTGCAATAAGACAGCAAGATCTATTCTCGACGTTTTGGGCTAAGGCCTTTCATCAAGAGAGTTAAAACTTTCAGACTAAAGGCCTTTCCTCGAAACGTCGAAGTTCGTTTTATTTTTCAGGTATAGTTTCATCGTCTACACATTGTCAATTTGTTGTTTCTATTTAGATTGAGTACCACAAATTCAACCGCATCTTTATATAATCTACATGCATGATGAATGTTACGATTCACACACAAATTTCTGTGATGTTTACTCTTTAGTGCATATGCCCAAATTTTTTAAGTATATATTAAAAGTTTCAAATGAAAAATTATGATCACATCTATTTTCTCATCTAATTATTCTACGAAGATTGCTATTCTAAACGTATTAAACCGGTATGCATGACCTGATTGTGTACTCTATTTGTTTATGCTCACTTTAGGACCAGTGTTTGACCAAGACTTGGAAGCTGGTGTGAATGAACAGATCAACGCTGAGTTGTCTGCTCATTATACCTACTTGTCCATGGTAAGGAGAAGTAATAAAAGAAATCATTCTTACCTTATTTAACTTGGAGTATTGTACAAATATCTCGAGTCTTGGGTTCTATTGTAGGTAGGCGGTGAACAATTAATATACAGCCAATTCAAAAAGGGTTGTCCTTTGCAAACCTTGACTTTATCCTTTTGAAAACAGAATGCGTATATAATGGTACCTGCGAAACATCTGTAATAACATGAATCAAGAGTCAATACCGATTAAATTTAAAATTCCAGGACTAAACTTCATGTTATTTCAATTAGATATTTCGTGATGTAAAAATGTTGTTATTTTGCTACAGAGTTATCATTTTGACCAAGATGACCATTACATGCCAGGATTTAGCAAGTTCTTTAAGAAAATGGCGGAGGAAGAACACGAGCATGCGCAAATGGTAAGATTATATCACCGCATAACAACGTAACCACTGCTAGCCAGTGTAATAGGGTGTTATCTCGTGAACCAAGTGTGAACAATGGTGTGAACCAAGTGCACGTGATGTATGTTGTGTTGCGCTTGCGTTCGGTTGTGTTGAATTGTGTTGTGTTGTATGTGTTGTACTGTGTCTTGCGTTCTTTTTGTAGTTGTTTTGTTTTTCGTTATGTAACTTAAAGTAATTGAGTGTGTATTATATTGTGTGGTGTAATATTGAGTTACGTTTCTTTGTGCTATGTTGTGTTGTGTTATGTTATGTTATTGTGTTATGTAACTTATGTTGTATTGTATTACGGTTGTCGTTCTGTTATGTTATGTTATGTTATGTTATATTATGTTATGTTGTGTTCCTTTGAGTTGTGTTTTGTTCTACTGCCCGCTGTGTTGTGTACAATATTGTGTTATATTGGGTTGTGCATTACTGTGTTGGCTTGCGTTGCATTGTTTGTTGTGTCTTTTGCCGCTACTTAACCTGGTATAAATCATGATTATCGTCTTTAATCTGCGTATTTGGCCACTATATATTGTATACAGAACTTCCCATTTATTTATATTTTATTATTTTTTAGTTCATGAAATACCAAAACAAACGTGGAGGAAGAATCCGTTTCAACAGCATTCCTGTACGTAGACATCAGAGCCATCATTCTCGTTTCAAGTGGGGCACAAAATTAGCCTCGCAAAAAAGTTTTGAAAGTCTTTACTTTACTTTAGTTTTGAGAAAGTTTGTTAAAAGTTTTGAAAGTCTTTACAACAGCCCACATTTTCTACTGCATTTAATTACATATTCAAGCTTGAGTAAAGGTTAATGCCTGCATGTAAATGATGTATTTTTCAACTTATTCAGAAACCATGCCATGATGGAAATTGGGAGAATGGAACATTGGCAATGAAAAGAGCACTTCATCTGGAAAAAACAATCAACAAATTGCTCCTTAATCTCCATACTCTTGGCGACTCCAAAAACGAGCCACAGGTTTGAAACAGATTCGGTATTTAATGTTAACACGGCGACGACACGCTATTCTCGTTCCTGTCAGCGTTGTTATATTTTACCTTAACATCGATGCAAGACCTGCCCCCCCCCCCCCCCCCCCCCCCGCTGCTAATCTTAACCCTATCCAGTCTTGGGTCTTGCTAACCACAGCATTTTGAGAACTATTTTATCGTGTTTTGGTGATTTTAAATAATCGTTTTAACACATACGAACTCTACTTAATTACAAACCAATCCAAAACATTAAAGTATAAAATTTTCATTGCAAGAAATCAAACTATAATCCCCAAGCTCTGTACTGGTCGGAATTTTTCCAAGGTGGGCCCACAATTCTCCAGGCCCAGGGGGATCTGGTCCACCCTCTGGCTATGATCGTATGGTGAAAGTCAGAGGCGCCCCACTGAATTCACAATTCAGTTCTCGACCCCATAACAATATGATTATAGCACGCCTTGTTATTACTTAACCCTCTCATTTACATCTGAAATTTGTATCTGAAATTTGTTTTAGTTCCTTGACTTCTTGGAGGCAAACTTTCTGGGCGAACAAGTGGACAGCATCAAGGAATTATCCAACTATGTTCATATTCTGCAACGACTCGACAGTCCTTTGGGAGAATATCAGTTTGATAAACTGACTCTTGGTGGAGGCAAGGACTAGTCGATATATACGACATGGTCTCGGACGTTTAACTTTTCTATGTTTTTTCAGGGTTATAGACATTACAAATAAGTAGTTTCATTTAGCCGCATGGGCTTAAGTAATAACATAACTAATTAGGGTAAATGATTTCATGGTGAGTTAATTAGGAAGCGTTTGTACACGTAACTTGTTCAGTTTGTCACTTGAAGTTAATTCAAAATGCTTTGTGACATAATTGTTTGTTAGTAAAAGTTTGAAGCACATTTACAACTTATACTGTACTGATTCAATAAATATTATATAATAACTACAGTGAAACACGCAATTTGATTTATAAAACAATCATCAAATGGTTTTCCAAGCAGGATATAGTGATCCATGCACTTCGGATGTTGCTCGACTTTCGGCTTTCCGAAAGTCTTGCAACATCCCTCGCGCATGGATCACGCAATCCTGCACGGAAAACCATTCGGTATTCCTTTAATGTACTGAATGTGTTCTAAATTTTCTTTTTATTCCATGTGTATGTAATGCAGTCAGTTATGTTAGTCGCAACCACCTCGCGCAAAAAGGTTGATAGCAAAAGTTGTTTTAGTCATGTAGACGCGATGTCTAATTCAATATCAGAGACATCAACAAGTGAATAAAACCAGCCAAGTTTAACCAGGACTTGCGAATTTTGTAATTATACGCGATGAGCCACGTTTCTGATATCGAGTTAGTGATCTAAAATGGTTGTTCAAAACTGGATTAGCGCTAACCCTGCATGGGTTAAAATTTAACCCGCTGTTTCGGTTTGTGTATTTCTGCACGTCCGTTATTGATGCAGACAAGATTCCTTAGAAAGGTATTTCTGCTTTAAAGATTTTGTTAAGCTATAGGATTAAGCTAACTGACTTTTGAACAACCGGTCTAATATTTAATTATCGCCGTGCTTATTCTTCCGACAACGGAACCAAATGTGTAAACGCTATTCTTCCGACATGAATGAATGGAGTTTATCTATTGGTCGAGTGTCGAGTGTCGAGGGTAAATGTCGAGGGCGAGGGTAAAAAGTCGAGGGCGAGGGTAAAAAGTCGAGGGCGAGGGTAAAAAGTCGAGGGTGAGGGTAAAAAGTCGAGGGTGAGTGTTAAAAGTCGAGAGTAAAAAGTCGAGGGTTAAAAGTTGAGAGTAAAAAGTCGAGGGTTAAAAGTCGAGGGTTCAAAAGTCACAAAAAAATACAATATTAAGATCAGGTTAGCGACGAGTTCTCGGCAGTATTGTTATACAAGCACTTAGGCTATAAACCAAATAATCAAACCTATAATATGCGTTCCACGCACATATACTACGTGGCGACCGCGTATTCTGCGTTTTAAATGTACTAATATGCCATACCGTGGCTTTGCGTCCTGATCTGCATCATACATGCAGTCGTGCAGACAGCAATACAATCAGTTTAAATAATATATATTGTTTATTCTCTACAAACAACAGTATATTACATACTATATAAGCAGGGCTCTTTAAAACACAGCGCCCTGCTTTACGCCTTTAATCGACAATAAATGAACCGATAATGTAGGGGCAATTAATATCGCAACTTGTCATTGAACTTGATGTATATATGCAAGGTTCGTTTGTAGCCGGTATACTGCATGTGCTTAATCGGCTAAATTATTACTCCGCAAATCAGATTAAGGTGTGAAACTCAGGCGTAAAACTCCGAGTACCTATCAGTTAAATTTTAAGATATACAGAAACTCTTTATAAACAATCCCGCGTTGAAAATAATCACGGAACTCCATTTTATTAAACGCTTTCCAAATTTTCCTGAGTGCACACGAAACAATAGCTTAAAATAGAAGTCAAGTTACTTATTGTTATCATTGCCGGTCTCGATTTTGTACCATTGGCATTGTTTGAATTGTTTAATGTGTCCACAAGCAAATTCGTGTTTTAAACATGACTAATATAATTGAAACTTGGTCAATTTTATGATTGTTATTTATTTAACTATAACTAACGGGCCACTAACATGAACAGAACATATGTTTAGTCGAGCCAGTGAATTGCGGCATGTCGGATATGTCAGTAACCTGATCTGTCAATAAAGGCGAAAACATCGCCCAACGTGTGTGCGTGGAACGCATATTATAGGTTTGATTGTTTGAATAATGTTTGATTATTTGGTTTAAAAGTGCTCATAAAACAATACTGCCGAGAAGACACGTAGACGTCGCTATGGCCTTATCCGAAGCGGTTACCTGACCTTAATATCGTATTTTTTGTGATTTTTAACCCTCGACTTTTTAACCCTCGACTTTTTACCCCTAATTTTAACCCTCGACTTTTTACCCTCGACTTTTTACCCTCGACTTTTAACCCTCGACTTTTAACCCTCGACTTTTTACCCTCGACTTTTTACCCTCGACTTTTAACCCTCACCCTCGACTTTTTACCCTCGCCCTCGACATTTAACCCTTGACACTCGACCAATAGATAAACTCGAAATATTCCCTCAGCACATGCTCCATCAGTCATCACCTTTTTACCACCGGAGGGTTTTTATCTCTGGCTTCATCTTGAACAGATCTGTCATCACGTTTATTATTGTACTGTTCGCAAATTGATGTATGATGACGTCTATTGCAGTGCCCGCAGGAGGTCTTACTATTGCAATCGGAGGCGCGATGAAATTTTGTGGCGCAGTTAAAGCACAATCCTTTTTTCGCCAAAATTTGTTTGCGCTCATTCGGATTTACAACCTTCTGACATCTTACAGCCTTATGGTTAGGATCTTCGCAATAAACACAACCCGAAAGTTTTTGTTCGTCTCGTTTTGCATGAAACAATTTCCTTCGATTTTCATCGTGTCGCAAATCACTACCGGTAGTTACTGGGTTGCGCTTTACCCACTGGCGCAATGCCTCGGCCAGTTTACTAAAATCCCACGACTCCCATTCAGGATCAGTTCGAACTAAATCACCCCTAATCCCTGCCAATTTGTCTAATGTCATCGAAACATTTCCGTTGATTTGGTCAAGACCCGTTTTTTGAGAGTCTCTAGTGCTCTCACGCAATACGTTAATTTCTCGCTGAATTCAGCAATTCTTCGGGCGTTACTGTTCGGAATTTGGGGTAAATCGAGAATTTCCTTTACGTAACGTTTCACTATCTCAGATTCCTTCCCATATTTATCTTGAAGGATTGCTTTGGCTCTGTTATAGCCCTCGGGGGAAAAGGGAAGGGATTCCACACATATTTTGACTTTTGGACTCAACAGTTCTAACAAATACGTGAACTTTGTTATAGGCGCAATATAACTTTTGTCGATACCTTCGGTAAACTGCCCCCAGAACCGGGGCCAGTCCATATACGAGCCTTCAAATTTTGAGATTACCAGTTTAGGCAATTTTGCGCTTGGACTAGAAAATTCCTGTGTTTCCGGTTTTGATTTGGCGCTGTTCACAAGCTCGGATTGCATGCGTAATTTTTCTTCATGCAATTTTAATTCATTTTTAAACAGCTCCTCTTGGGCTACAGCCTTAGTTTGGCGTTCATTTTCCGCCAACCAATCACTAAAACGTGCAATTTGAAAATCAGCTTTTTCAAATTTCGACTCAATATTGTCATTCCAATTAGCGATTTCATCCATGTTTGTTTTGCTCGCAATTTTCTGTTCTTCAACCAAGCGTTTGCATTGGTTAGATGAACTGTTCACTGATTGTAGCGTTTCGAGGTGCCGTTTAATAGTTTCACGCTTACCTGTTGCCAAGATTTTTTCTGACCTTTGTACCGCTAAGTTCAGCTGCGTCAATTTAGTCTCTAGTTCCATTTCTTTCGGATCCATCTCCATCTTTTCCTCCGTCTCTGGCATATCGTTATCCGTCTTTAGCTTGTTTTTTAAAGTTCACAATCCCGTCGGAGGTGCCACTATGTCGAGAATTCGCCTCCGCTTCAACGTAGTTCCCGACAAGTCACGAAATCACAAATGTTTTAATAATATATTATATTTAACCCAACAGTAACAATAAATCAATTAATAGAATAGTATAGAATGTTCTCCCTTGTGTCCCAGTTAACGTAATGTTCCCAATATATATATATATATATATATATATATATATATATATATATATATATATATATATATATATATATATATATATATATATATATATATATATATATATATATATATATATATATGTTCGCTGTTTGTCTATCGATTAGACCTTCTCACAATCGCTCACAGTCACAGTCACAATTCTCTCTCGAATATCTCGCTCCTTGTGACTCACTCGTTTTTTGCACACTCACTCGACCCATTCTCCTCTAATCTCTCTCGACTTCGTGTGTCATGCATGTCAACATATTAATTAGATCTATAATTATCAGTCAGTTCCGACACTCAAACCGTTTCCGGTGTCTGAAATTCAGACACCCAAATGTATCTCAGTCTGCATGGTTGGTATTTATATATGATTTTGACAAACTCAAACCGTTTTCGGTGTCTGAAATTCAGACACCGAATTTATATTTATATCTGACAATGGTTGGTCTATTTATATATATGAGTGATAATCTGAATCCAGTTTAAGTCATGTAAGCATATGAATACTGCAAATTTTCACTTTAGCATTAATGATTTCAGAATGGTGTTTCGTTTAGACAAAAATGTTGTTTTTTTGCAGAGTCTCTGCCAAAAAATAGTATTTCGATTTGCTAAAATGAAATCTTCGCACTTTTTGTTATTTTTTTAAATTTTTGCAGAAAAAAAAATAGTTTGGAATTATTGAAAATAGTTTGGAACGCGTTCTCGAAGTACCGAGTCGAAAGCTCAATAAAAGTCACTATCAATCCGGAAAACGTTCACAAATTATATTGTGTTGTAATGGTCAGTATAGTATATAGAAGACCGCTCAATACAAAACTCCTTCGTAGAGAAAAATATCATGTAGTTTTATATCCTGTATATATTGTACATTATACAAAGTATTTACATTCAACTAAAGTATAGTTTAACTTAGTTTTAACTTAAAAAGTGGCTTTCTTTCGCATATTTGGTGATCAAACAATGCATGCAATCACTTCTAGCCCCACTCAACTTTTGGTAACTTTGGGTATCCCCCTAGGGGAGGTGGTAACATAGAGGGAGGTAATTGAGGCAATGGTGGAAGATTCGCTGGCAATGTAAATGTTTGTGTATCATCTTCGTTAGCTATGTTCGTTTCCTTGCCATCCTCAGACCCCTTATTGCCTTGCTGATATTTTCGTTTCTTCTCCCATCTAGCCAGCCAAACACCGAGTTTCGGTTCACTTTTAGAAGTACTTGATGATGACTGCGCTTTTGCTATAATTAGTAAAAAAAAAGGCAAAACAATTGACCATTTGCGTAACAGACAAAAAATTCATCACAGCTTGAAGGAGCATCACAAAATTAGTAATATTCCAAAGTTTCGTTGCGAGATGTTGTAAAATGCGGAAAATATAGCCTTGCGAAATTTGCAATTTTCAGTCATTTTAGATTACAAACGGGAAATTGACAGCCCCAAACCCTTCGAGGCTGTCAATTTCCGGTTTGTAATCTAAAATGACTGAAAATTGCAAATTTCGCAGGCTATATTTTCCGCATTTTACAACATTTTGCAACGAAACTTTGGATGCTCTTTCAAGCTGTAATGAAATTTTTGTTGAGATCAAAATTTAGTCTATTACGCAAATGGTCAATTGTATTTAGGGGTACTTGTTACGCAAAGGATTCATTTCAAATGCAGCCGTCCACTCGTGTCAAAATTAATTTTACAGTGACAAAATTCGTGCCAAAATTAATTTTACAGTGGAACAATAGCTGCTACATGTAATTCAAACTTCCAAGGGAAGCGAAAATTTGTTCGAGGCAAGGTCCAGACACATCGGACGCGATTCGACAACGCGACTGACGCGATTTTTCGATCACTGACCGATAACTTTGATCCTAGTTTAAATTTTCCAAATATTTAGAAGCGTTATAACATTTTGAGTTATTTGGTCTACATATATTTTAAAATTTGCTCTCATTGGCTGTTTTATTAACTTTCAAAAACTAAACAATCACGTCGCGTTGTCGAATCGCGTCCGGTGCATGTGTTTGGACATTTAGCGGGGATTTGAGTTAACGGCATCGGTGTTACATTTTATTTATTATGTTAATTAACAATTCATAAGCTTATTGGCAAATCATGTCAACCGTAATATGTCACGTGAAGACTGAAGAGGCTTTATACCTGATAAATCTTTATTAGTATTCTTTATACAACGGAATACTATATATAACGGAAACATGGCTAAATGACCGTATCTCAGATTCCTGCCTCGATATTCCAGGTTACAATTTTGTTCATAAAAACCGCAGTGTGGGCTCCCACGGAGGGGTTGGGGTGTACATCAGGAACACGATATTTTATAAGCCTCTGAATCATCTCCACCATATAGATTACGAAGTTCTGTGGGTCTATGTTCGTCCAAGTAGACTTCCCCGCGGGTTTTCCTGCTTGATACTTGGTGTCGTTTACCATCCACCTAATGCTAATGATGATGAAATGCTCCAATTTCTCTCCACATCACTGATTACTATTGAAAGCACTTATCCTGGCTGTGGGTTTATTCTTGCAGGCGACTTTAATCGGTTAAAATGCAATCGGATATTAACACAGTTCAGTTGCAAACAGATTGTTAACGTTTCCACAAGGGCCAACCAGACTTTGGATCTAATAATAACCAACTTACATTCGTTTTATGATAAGAACTCTGTCGAAAAATTTCCGCCATTTGGTCTTTCAGATCATAATGTTGTGATTGTCAATCCTTGCAAAAGAGAACCCAAGTCATGCAGTAGAAGAATTATCTCTAGTAGAGATTTACGATCTAGTAAAAGGCATGAGCTTGGAAGATACCTTACATCTATCGATTGGTCCTCTCTGAATCATTTTGACACATGCGAAATGAAACTCCAGTATTTCGAAGAGTTAGTACGTCTCGGTATTAGCACCATTATGCCAATAAAGAAAACGGCTTTGCATGTACACGATCCTCCATGGATTACTGCAGAATTTAAAGAGCTTATAAGGAAGCGTCAAGCTGCCTTCTGCAGTGGAAATACCTTTCAGTTCAAGTATTACCGGAATCGGGTTAACCGCGAGCGAAAGACATGCCGGGCGAAATTCTACTCTTCAAAAGTAAAGAATCTTAAATCGACCAAACCGAAGAGATGGTGGAAGGAGGTGAAGTAGATTGCTGGTATGGTACCTACAACCGGCTCCGATGACCTATGCAGTCAACTTCATTTAGACGATATTGAGAATATGCAACGTCCTGACATTGCGAATTTAATTAATAACGCCTTTTTGGAGCCCATGAACTCCTTCAATCCACTGTCAACCCTTCCCCCCTTTGATAATTATTCCTCTTTTCAAGTGAACGAATTGGAAGTCTTTCATTTACTGAAAGCAATTAATCGTGGAAAGGCGTCAGGTCCTGACGAAATTCCCAATTGGGCTCTTAAGGAATATGCTGAAATCCTTGCACAGCCAGTATGCGCTGTGCTAAACAGCAGCTATGCCGAACAACAACTACCTAAATCTTGGAAGCTTGCCAACATTGTGCCCCTCATAAAAACTAAGCCCGTTAGCGACATTTGTAAGCAGTTACGACCAATTTCACTTACTGCCGCTATTTCGAAAATTGCCGAGGACTGTGTTGTTAAAAAATACATTGCTCCAGCTATCATGAGTATAATCGATCCAAGTCAATATGGAGTAATACCAAGAAGTTCAACTACTCTCGCTGTTATATCTATGATCCATGAATGGTCGCAAGTTACTGATGGCACTGGCTCTGCTGTCAGAGTCATCCTGTTCGATTATAGAAAAGCATTCGACCTTATCGATCATGCTTTACTGGCTGATAAAATTTCCAATTTAGCTATTCCACGTGCGGTTGCTCGCTGGACAATCGATTTTTTGATGAATCGAAAGCAGAGAGTGAAATTATCCAATGACTGTTATTCGGAGTGGGGAGATGTACTTTCCGGTATCCCTCAAGGTACAAAATTAGGGCCCTGGCTATTTTGTTTAATGATAAACGATCTTGATATTTGTAATATATCGAGGTGGAAGTTTGTTGATGACACAACAGTTGCTGAAGTAGTTAGTAAGGACACAGAGAGCCGTGTTCAAGTCGCAGTTGATGTTGTGGAAGATTGGTCGAAGGCAAATGGGCTATCTCTTAACACTGAGAAATGTAAAGAACTGAGAATCGATTTTAAAAGAATTAAACAACATTTTGATCCTGTACTGGTGGGTGGAGAAGCATTGCCCATAGTTGAGAGTGCAAAAATATTGGGTCTTGTTACGACAGGCACACTTCAGTGGAAAGATAACATCAGAGAGAGTATAAAGAAAGCTAATAAACGCCTCTATTTTATAGTACTATTGAAACGGGCAAGCGTAAATGTCAATGATGTCTTGAACTTTTATTGTACAGTGATCAGGCCTGTGCTCGAGTATTGTGCGCAAGCCTTCCATCATTCCATCCCAAAGTATTTGGCAGACGAACTTGAGACTGTCCAGAAACGTGTGCTAAAAATTTTATCTCCTGAAATGACATATTGTGAGGCCCTTGAGTATTTTAGACTGCCTACTATATTTCAAAGAAGAGAGGACATGTGTGACAAACTCTTTACGAGTATCATCAAGGATCCAATGCATAAACTTCATCATCTGCTGCCCCCGAAGAACGAGACTGATTATTCTTTCAGGACGAATCGGTATTTTAATATGTACGTTACACGCACGAACCGCTTTTATAACTCTTTTATCCCTGCTATGTGTAGGAAGTTTGTAGGATAGATTTTATGCTTATTTTAATCGAATTTTGATCGTGGGTGGGTTTTTATAATATTGTATTAATAATATATTTATATGTAGTGCATGTGATAATATGTAATCCACGCAATTCAGCTTCTGGCTGCAATGTGGTTTCAATTTAATAATAATAATAATAATAAAATAATATATAAAACTCCATCCTAATTAGTATTCTTTATATAAAGAATACTGACTAATGAGACGGCATCTATTGTAGTCGTGTTTGAAGCTATTCAAAACCAACCTTGTACCCAGGCTCTTTCCACTACTTTCCACTACCTCCAGCGAGGCGCGTAGTGGAAAGAGCCTGGGTAACGAGGTTGATTCAAAACATGCGTAGGAGTGTGTTAACATATCTAAAATGCTCGTGCTACGCACTCGCATTTAAAATATGAAAAAAACACTCCTATGCGTGTTTTAGATAGTATCAAGTAATAAGGTATAGTCGTTTTATACGGGTCATCACAATTGTGAGCCATTACGGTGCACTCTTAATAAAGAACTTACACAGTTTGCACTACTGACTGTTCCATAAGTTAAATTAAACAATCCCTATGACAGTGTTTAACAGTAGAGTACCTACAGTACCAACAGTACCTATAGCTAGATCAGTAATGATCGACGCAACTTATTGAATCTTTTATCTCTTCATATATTATATACAGATTAAATTGTTGTTGTCAGTTGTCCGAATAGAAATCCATGCTTCTGACTTGTCAATGTGCTATGTTCGGATAATTTGAGGTTTGCTGATCCACGTCTCAAAATACAGTTCGGGTTAAACCCGGTAAATTTGACCAAGGAAATTGTTCGAGTCAGCGAGGAGTAAAGACTCTAAAATTTGCATCAGATCCAGGGCAAATTGGATTTAGTTGTTGTAGTACTGATGCAACACTGAAATAACACAGGGACGGCAGTGATTCAGGGTTGTAAAATGTTGATCTACCAATGAGATAGGTTGTGCTAAATCTGCTACACCTAACTGATTCATTCATTAGGGAGTTTACGATGTACGACGGGGTCAGCTCGACGACGTCGAGTCAAATTATGCTTGAAATATGCCACAGGAATTTAACTATGCTGCTTTACATGTAATTGTCTAAAGGATGTTTTAATAATACAACGATTTTATCAACGTTATAAAACAGCTCCCATGTCGCAACGAGCTTTGATATCGCGAGGAAGCCGTGAAAATTACTCGTTTGACGGTGTCCCAAGAATAGCAACGCTGTTGACAAAACATTTGAATTTACAATTTATTCATCCTTTTGTCTCGCATGACGTGTTTCTTTGTCGCGAATCGTAAACTCTCTATTGTTATCCTGAGACATCTAAGGAACCCGAATAGCTGAACAATACGCAATATTAACATTATAAATTCATAAGTTGAATTTTCTCTGGAAGGGCAGTTGCCCCTGTTCGCCCCTCCCCCCACTCAAATAGGTACGGCCCTGCACCTAACTTGTGCACCTAATTAGGTTTGCACATGATCAATAGAGCTTTCCCCTTTTGAGTGAAATTTTGATCTAGACAAGTCTGGACAAAAAGATCACAGCTCGAAAGAGCATCACAAAATTAGTAATATTCCGAAGTTTCGTTGCGAAATGTTGTAAAATGCGGATAATATAGCCTTGCGAAGTTTGCCGTTTTTTCAGTAATTTTGTATTACGCACGGGAAATTGATAATCAGATGATCAAACTGATATCAATTTCCCATTTGTAATACAAAATGACTGAAAATTGCAAACTTCGCAAGGCTATATTATCCGCATTTTACACCATTTCCCAACGAAACTTCGGAATATTACTAATTTTGTGATGCTCTTTCAAGCTGTGATGAAATTTTTGTCCAGGCATATCTAGATCAAAATTTCACTCATAAGGGGAAAGGTCTATTGGAGCGGTTTTCGAACCGAAGCTAATTAACAGTGAAATATATTTAAAACTAGGTTACCCACAGGGCAGTAATGCTGCCTTTGACAGCAAAAGACAAACTACAGGGTGTTGAACGAGTTCTTCAGAAACATCCTACCACTGACTGAGTATTAAAAATCGTCTGGCGTTGGACAGGGTAACTACTAAAGTAGGGGTCATTACTGTGTTGATGAATTAACAAGAGCCATTGGCAGATAGGTTTGTTAACCCATTTACTGGCAGTACCCTATAACACTGACGAGTAAAATCTTCTGGCGTTGGACAAGGGAAGGGCGCATTGCCAGCTAATGGGTTAAACCGCTGTGGTTTATAAACATAAGATTTGATGCTCCAGGAAATGTAAACAAGCTATCAGTGTGACATCCCAGTTTATATATTTATATACTCGGAATATTGATTTCTCGGTATATACAAAATTATTTTAAAGTATAACAACCAGCGAAGACGTAAGCCACTAACTACCCTGCGCGGCTGCGCGCAGACTATATAACGACATATATATGTCATCCGTCCGGTCCGTCCGTCGCCATCCGTCCGTCCGTCATTCATCCGTCCGTCCGTATCCGCGTTTTATCCTAACCCGTTTTTAAAACACAAAGTTTGCATAATTAAGTGCGGTTCGTCATGATCAACATTTTCAAAAGCGGCCAATTAGACCAGGGGTTAAAGGGCAATGACAATGACATGCAGGTGACATTTAACATTGAGTCTCACTAATTAAAGTTTGCGTGTTTAATAATGTTTATCAAAGAAAGCAAAAATGTATACAAGACAATCTCACATGTCAAATTTTTTCACTTACGTACTGCCTTGTGATGCAGTACAAGTATAAATACAAATGACAAAGCATTTGTAAATCCTAAAACATAATTAAATCATACGGCACATTTAAGATTTTAATATCGTATTTCAGCCGCGTTTATACTGTTTGGCGCATTCGCTGCGCTATATTAATTTATATACACAGAAAAGCATGTCATTGTCCATGCAGACCATAGGCAAAAAGCATTTGTCAACCACATACCAAATTTAAGCAATCGTTAAATCATATACATGTCATGGAAAGAATATGGAAATAATGTTGAATGAAAGCTAGCATCGCGTATAATATTAGAAGCACCGCATATAGTGCTCGAACCACTGCGTATAATTGCAAAAGCACCGCGTATATAAATGGTGAAAGCACCGCGTATAATACTGGAACCACCGCGTATAATGGCGAAAGCACCGTGTATAATGCCGAAAGTACCGCCGTATAATGCTAAAAGCACCCAACAAAATGCCGTTTGAATGTTTGATCACTCTAAGCCAGCTATGGGTTTCCATAAAAGAAGACCAAAGATGAAAGATGATCACATTGCCTGTTTGCCTTATGCCTGACCGCGCTGCACCACGGTTAAAATTCACTGGTACCGTCATGCAATGCGCCAAATAGAAAATTTTGATTTCGACCCACAAAACAAAATTAGGATCTGCTGCCTTGCTCGCTCGCTTCAGGCTCGCTCGCTGCGGCAGCAATAAGTAGACAGGGGTGAGGATTTATCAGCTCCTAGCACTACTAAATCTGTTCCAAGTTTCTCTCAAATTGCCTTCAGTTTTGACAATGTCTATCCATTCTGCTATGAGGTCAGTCTCATTTTTAATTGGGTCTATCCACTTTCTATCTATAGTTATTATGAGATAAACTGATCTCATAACAAGCTGGATAGGCCCAGGGGCACTGGGGCAGCATGTTGCATTTTTTTACAAGAACTACTAGTACACTTCGTAAGGCGTGTGTTATTCATATGAATTGCAACGGAGAACTGTTTTCAAGTAATTTAGCTCAAATTTGAATCTGAAATTCATCTTAGAAATTCATCTAATTCCAACTATATGACAAAAAATCAAAAAGAAAGCCGTCCTAAATAATTGACAAGCTGTTGTTCTATATACAAACATATAAAATTGGTCCAATCAATGCCGAAAGCAAGTAACTGTGCAGCAAAATTTTAACAAACATTGCTGCCCACAAAAGTTCATAAGTAGGGGCTCATAAGTATTAATGTGCCCTTTTTAAATGGCTACCCCATAGGGATGAGCCGATTAATTGGTAAATAATCGGCAAAGCCGTTAATCGGCCATTTTTTAAACAATCGGTAATCGGCCGATTATTGCCTGATAATCGGCCATAAGACTTTTTCTGCAGCTGCCAAGCACATGCTAAAATACTGAATACAAGCAAATAGATTTTCACATTTTGTTGCAAAACCCACGTTTTTTGTCTCAAAACCCGCGTCAAGATCTATATGGTCTTGTTTCGAAGAGACAGTTACATCTGACGACGGCGTTCCAAATCTTGAAGAAGAGGTCAACACATTTCTCGTTCTTCCCTTGCAACCGTTACAACCGTGTCCATATATACCTGGTGGGTTTCCAACAAAAAAATGTACCCGAATATTTTCATTTTTCAACAACGCGCTGAAGTATCTTAGCCCACAAGTTCAAGCGTATATTCGGAGCGCATGTTCAGTGAAGCTATGGGAACATTTCCACTGAAAAACGCAATATCCTGTTTTTACACCATGCATAATCTGCCAAAACTAAACTTTGACCATTGACATGCGAGATTGAAGCTGATTTTAATTGTACACAGTGTGTAAAACCGCATTATTTTACAACTTCATTGTTGGTCATCCTCTCATTTTTCTCTTGCTTTTGAAAATAATCGGCAGGTACCGATTAATCGGCTGATTATAGTTACGATAATCGGCTTATAAATAATCGGCCTCAGTAATCGGCAATATTCCTTATCGGCTCATCCCTACTACCCCAGCCGCTTCACATTGTTGCCGACACCTCTGGATAGACTCTATACAAAATGAAGCCAATTTGAGCGAGACTTCGAGCAAGTCTACAACACTCTGGGCCTTTTTGCAAACCATGCTTTTTGGGGTGCTATACATTTTCAAGGACCCAATACTTTGGCAAAACAAAATACTGGCAAAACAAAATACTGGCAGTTCAAAATATACCATGTTGTTCCAACAATATCTGTGGGTTCGTGTGTGAAAAACGGCAGTTAGCTATATATATATATATATATATATATATATATATATATATATATATATATATATATATATATATATATATATATATATATATATATATATATATATATAT